ATTTCTCATCACTGTGCACATTGGTCAGCAGCGACTGATGTTAACAGTATAACTCTAGTGCTGCTAGTCCTTAGGCCTTTGCTTAAACTTAATGCTTCAGCAGAGAAGCAGAAACATGCAAAGTTGTAAAAATATTTCTTTCAGTGCATTTTATTTTACTCTATTGAAATTTTGTCTTTCTGAAGTTGCAGTACTAATGTTGAAGTATGGATAATATTTTCTTTGTTAATAGCTTTAAAGTAGAAGGAATCATAGAATATCCTGAGTTGGAAGGGACTCACAAGGATCATCAAACCCAACTCCTGGCTTTAAGCATGACAACCCAAAAATCAGACAATATGACCGAGATTGCTGTCCAAACACTTCTTGAACGCAGCTTGGTGCTGTGACCACTGCCCTGGGGAGCCTGTTCCAGTGCCAACACCCTCTGGTGAAGAACCTTTTCCAGATATCCATCATAAACCTCCCAAAAATGTAGGACATAAATATTTTTGTAGTCCAGAGTAAATCTCTGGAGTCTGATGTAAGATTAGAGATATGAGACAGGTGAAAGTCATGATTAACTGTAATTAAAATGTCACAGACTTTTCACTGTCTTTAAAAATAAATGATCTAGCTGAAAACAAAACTAAGTATCTAAGTAACTTTCAGTGATGAATCACAATGAGCTTATCCTTTCTGAGATCAAAAGAATGAAACAAACAAAAAACCAAACAAACAGAAGTGAATAGGACAGGAATAAAAATTAGAAAATCTGAAAATATCTAGCGAAAAGAATAGGGAACAAAATTTTACATAACATTTATTTTGACTTTTAGTTCTCTATAACAAGGAAGAAAAATACAGAATTATTTTATTTTCTCTCCCAAGTGGAATTTCTTAACTTCATTGATTCTCTGCTGCAGAATTGCAGTTTAGTTGCTAAATCCTTTAAGTCCTGAGAAGCTGGTTTGCACTCACTCATGCCTCAATGTATCTAATATTTACTTTCCAGAAATATATTGAAAGATTATGTTTTTTAAAATAAGTGTGCTTATTTTTTTTCTCTATATATGTCTAATGGACCAACTGGAAATATTTGTAGTCACAAAATATGGTGAGATATCATTATGCCAAAAAAGATACAAGAAAGGTTTCAAACGTGGAGCCCTTATATTTTACTAAGCAAAGAAAAATGTGGCTCCCTCGAGTGCTGTCACTGCCTACTGCTTTCTCTTCAGGAGGAGCAATGACAAGACTGCAGTGGAGGCAAAGCAGACAGCAGCAGCTTAGACCAGGATGAGCAGAGGGCAGGGGAAGTCTTTTTATCAGGAGCAATAGTACATTTTTAAAGCGTTTCTGAAATGTTGACATGGTGTGACACCTCAAGTTGTGTGCATGTGGGGGCGAAGTTGTGCGGGTGTGCCTTTTTTCCATAGAAATATTTCTCGGAACAGGAGGTGCTCATCCCACGCATACCAGGCTGAAAGCAAAGAAACTGTGTTCAGAAAGATGCTAAATAAAGCAAGTGATTAAGCAGAGGAGAAGGAAAATGAAAGAACAGTTCTAATGCGGATGTCAAAATAAAAATGGGACAATTGTTTAAAACAAAAGTCTAAAACATTTCAGTGTACTTGGAAAATTGAATTAGAACTATATAGGCCTGATTCTCCACTGCTTGTCATTACATAATCAAGTTTTGCACAGTACCATACTGTAAGGATGAAAGTGATTTATATCTTTCATCAGGAGTGCAAATGCCTAAACTTTGCTTCATACTGCCAGGTAAAATATGCATGCAAAGCAAAGAATTAAAATCTATCACAGTGTCTGTGAAAATAACTATGATAGAGTGTGTAGTGACTGAGAATATAAAAAAATGTTCCTATTTTAGTTTGGCTGTTCCAACATAGTTCTCTTAACTTTTAACAAAGCAAGAATAAATGGCCACAAGTTGCACCAGGGAAGGTTCAGGTTGGATATTAAGAAAAAATCTCTTCTCAGAAAGAACAGTGAGGCAGTGGCACAGGCTGCCCAGGGAGTCATGGTCCCTGGAGGTGTTCAAGAAACATGGGGATGTGGCACTGAGGGACATGGTTAGTGGACATGGTGGAGATGGGCTGATGGTTGGACTAGATGGCACTAGTGGTCTTTTCCAACCTACATGATTTTAAGGATTCTGTGATTATTAGCGTTGTATTTATTATATTTAAATCCAGATAATTATACAAATATATTAAGACTTGCATCCTGGAATATTGTCACTGAAGTTGCAAGGCAACATCAGCTTTGTAATGTACAGGTTGCAGAACACAATAGTATATAGCAGTATTACACATTATTAGGAAGCTGTGATACACTGTTGAACAAATATAACACAGCCAATGAATTAAAAGAACAGATATTCATGATTGTGATTTTCTTGATGTCTTGATTCGCTCTCTTCACAGTTTACCATATGTGTAATATGTATTCTTCTAGCAAATGTACAGCAGGGCAGTGGGGAAGAAGGCCATTTTTATGTAGTCCTTGATGCTGCCTTTTAGGATTAGGTGAAATTTCTCTGGAAGGAGGGAGGTACATAATCACAGGTATACATTATAATTTCTCTAATAAAGATGTTTAGATATGAGAAGCACTTCGGTGTTGGGGTGACACTGGCAGGAAATGAATAGGACAGCAAGCACACACACAGGAGCAGATGAGGATGCATGGGGGCTCCCAAGGAATAGCAGTAGTAGGGCTTGCACATTAGGAGTATAAAGTTTGCACAGTGAAGAAGACAAATATACACATTATTTGTTAAGCAGGCAGTTATTGGAAGCCAGTGGAAAGTGGGATAGGAGGAAAGGATCTGACCTGTTGGAATATGATGGTCAAAAGAGAGATGTGATATCAATTCCCTTTTTATTTACCCATTTTTCCTAGACAATCAGAATGTGCTCTCTGTCTAAAAAATCAGAATAACAAAAAATTTTATAGTGGCTTCAGGAACATATTTTTTAAGTGTCAAGTACCATCATATGAGTAATATTTCTCTGAGTAAATTCTTAGAACAATAGAATTGTTTGAGTTGGAAGAGACTTTAAAGACCATCTAGTCCAACTCTCCTGCAATGAACAGGGACATGCACAGCTAGAGCAGGTTGAGTGTCTTCAGGCATGTGACATCCACCACATCCCTGGGCAGCCTGTTCCAGTGCCTCACCACTCTCACTGTAAAACACTTCTTCCTTATATCCAGTCTAAACCTCGCCTCTTTTAGTTGGAATCATTTTCCCTTGTCCTGTCACAGCAGACCCTGCTAAAGAGTCTGCTCCTTCTCTTCTCGCAGCCATCCTTTAGGTACTGATAGACAGCTATCAGTTCTCCCTGGAGCCTTCTCTTCTCCAGGCTGAACAGCCCCAGATCTCTCAGCCTGAGTTATGTCTTCTTTTTGGTTTAATGAATTTTTTTTTTCTGTCCTTGTCTGTCATTAACTTCTGTCTCCTTCATTGCAGTCTGCATGGATCTTCAGGTCCTTTATTCATTTTTTTAGGTAAACTCATTAGACATGGTTCCTTTTCTCTTTCAGCATTTCAATATTTCAATCTTTCTAGTCTCCAAAGACAGAAAGAATGTAATTTTTTTGTTCTGTGTTCCATTGATAAATTATTAAAAACTGTAGGCTAGACATTTTCATTCCTATTTTTCATTGTTTCATGGAGACCAGGCAAGTGTCAGAAGTCAGACTGCAGCAGTGAAACTTTCATCCTGCCAACATGAATGGAATAATTCATTCCTATATTTAGGGTGGTATTATTGCCCATGTGAAATCCTGCTATCTTTACAGCTAGCTTAGAGATAGGTCACTCCATATTGGTGATTTCTCCAGCACATATAATTTTGACAGCTTCAATACGACCAGCAATCCAATTAATATAATTTACCAGCATTTTTTCTCCTAGATTTATAATAAAAATATTATACCAAGCAGGATCTAAATTTAGCTCAGTCCTACAGTAGTATGTTCCATCCAGACTGCTGCTGCAACCATCCAATGCCATGAATCTGGCTATAAATTCATACTAAATTCTTTTTTTGTTTGTTTGTTTGTTTTAACCAATTTTCATGCATTTAATTAATATCATTTTTCCTATGCAGTTTTCTTAATTCTCCTTCATGAATTGCAGTTGTTACCTTATATAGAGGAAAGCACATGAATATATATTAATTAGTGATATCTTTTGACATAAAGAAATAAAATACAGAATCTCACTGAACAGTTTGAAAGATCAGTCCTTTTACAGTGTACAAAAAGCAGTTGGATCATTAATCTTATTCAACACCAAAGTCTTCAAAAAGACAACAGTGCTAGTCCTAACTGTGAAAAATATGCATTACAAAGGTGTTTCTAGAAGCCACGTGCCCATTGAGTCTCTGAATACCAGAAACATTGACAAACTTGCTTTGGAAGTTTTTTTCAGTATTTATTTGATGTGTAAACAGTGAATTCTATTACTAAAAACAGAAACTCAGGAAAGGCTAATTTCAGTCTAAATGATTTAAAATATAATACATCTATGATCTGTATACGGCTGTAATCTTGACTTTATCTGTAAGTCTCCATTCAAATAGCCTGGCTGTCATACAGACTTCTCCTGAGTATAGTAGTGTTTAAGAATATTTTTCATCTTAAATGGTAAGATTTTTGAATTAGAGTTCATAGGCCAGAATGTAATGTAATATAATTTGTTAATACATGTCCTCAAGGGCACATCAAACTATTTTAGTTTTATAAGCAATGAAGGGAAGGCAGAATAAGAATATCACAAGTTTTATGTGACTGATCCCATAATTTACACTGTTGAATATTTGCTTAAACTGTTAAGATATTCAAAATTTATAGAAATAGCCTTCTTGAAATGTCAGCACAACCTCACAGTTCCATTAAAGCTGTTTGGTCTAGAAAAGCACTGAAATAGACTCATATGTAGGTATAAATGACAGTGGGCTTTTTTCCTGTTTTTCTTTGTTTTTCAGCAGATGCTTTTGAAATATCTGAGAGACAAAATAATCTGATGTTTGCCAAGCCAGGAGGAAGTGTCACTTTTACTTGCCCTTACGACATTGGAGGTTTGGTGCAGCAAGTGAAGTGGGAAAGGATTAAAGCAGGTGGGACAGATACCATTGTCCTGTGTAACTCAGTAGGAGAGCAAAGATTTGGCTCAGCTTTCATAAAACGTGCACTGGTGGATTGCTCTGGTCAGGCAAGCTCAACGATTGTCATTCAAAATGTCACAGTTTCCGACTTTGCAAAGTACCGCTGCGTGGCTACTGGAAGAAATAAAACCTTTGAGATGAGTTTCACTGTGGTTGGTAAGTAAAGAACGTAGTGGTAAATGTTTCCAGGACCTTTTGAGGCATTAGCATCTTCACCCATAATAAATAACACTCCAGTAACAAATGAGAGTTTATTCAAATGCCACATTCAAATGAGCAGTGTGAGAAAGATGACAAAGTTAACAATCAGTCTGGTTTCCATAGAAATAAGCTGGTTTAACTTGTCTAATGTCAGAACAGGACTTCAGATCTGTTTGTGAGAAGCTGATTTGATGATAGGAAGGAGACTCTTTGAAGGAGGAGACTGCAGAGTTTGTAGGGGGAGATCAGTGATTTCCTGAAGACGTGGTCCCCGTTAACACAGTGCACTGCAGGGCATGAACCTTGGCCCTAGGTGAGAGACCTGTCTTCCAGAGGGAACTAAGAGCAAACTTCTGTTGTAAGTGCAGAATCTGTAGAATGGACTGTGCTTTGTTCAAGTAAGGAATTTCCATAGGGGGAGCTGAATAATTCTTCAAGTTTTGCTGGGACTATTTTCACAGTTTGATTATAATGGGAGCTTAGGTCTCCATATGTAGACAGATAAAATTGGATTGCTCAAACTGTGAGCTAAATCCCACTTTTAGTTCTATGTTCTGTTATGACTGTAAAAAGGGTTCAGTTTTAGTTCTGTGTAGAATGCCTTTTGAAAACAGAGTTCTTGTACCACCCCAGTCCTTCTTCTCCCATTGTAGCATTCAGGCCAGCTCTGTACTGTCTTTGGTACTGCCTTTGTTAGTGGTAATGAATGAATGCTGGCAGACGTGTTTGGCATCATGTAGAGCTGTGGCATACAGTATAAAGCTTCAGAATATGCTTCATCTCAGATACATGTATTGAGAATGCACTCAGGAAGAAAAAGTTGATCTATTTTACTCTGAACACTTGACCACAAAAGTCCATAAAAATGAACAAAATGTGATGAAGCATCAGGCGAATAATTTCTCTCACCTCTGAAATTTTTAAACATTCAATTTTCAAAATATTGACTGTATTCATATAATCAAGCATTAACAATTTGTATAGCAATTAAAATATTTTGTTTGCTCCACACAAAGTGTTTCTTGTACCAAAACTAAATCAAATAATGAGTTGCCAAACAGATTCAACTTTAAGACCTACCTATGCAAATTCTTTCTAGTTAAAAACAAAACAAAGCAAAAAGTAAAGAAAGACTTTAGATTCCACGCCTGTTTTGATCTTGAAGAAAATTCTATTTATCACAGCTGATTTTAACACCAGCATAGTTATGCATTACTGTTGGAGAAAAAAGGTATGGAATCACTGAAGAAACTCAAGTGTGATTCATTGTCTCCCTCTAAAACAATCTACATTATGACACACTTTATTTTTATTTTTTTTTGTTATTCCAAAAGAAGTTTAGCATGTTTATCTTTAATGTTTAGATATGTTTCATAATGCATGACGAATAGTTCCATGGGGATATGGAGAAATGCTAAAAGGAAAGCAGAGAGAGGCCAGGTGTTGGCTCCCACAGACCCACAGACCCTGGGAAGGTCTTCACTCAAAGTTTCTTACTCTGCTTTGGTGTAGCTTTAATGAAAGAGTGATAACAGAAACTAGATGTGCTAGTTTTTGTGTATGCTCTATCAGTTCACACACTTCATTTTTTTCAGGTAAGTGTTACAACTAAGCCACAGTCTAGGCTTGGATTTGGTACCAAACTCTTCCAATGTTTTTATTCTGTTGATGTAATTCTGCATGGGTACTACAAATCTTCTTACCTTGGCCAGTGACAGAGACATTCAGAAATACAGAGTCTAGGAGCTGGCAGAATAGTTGCGCTGTGAATAGTAATAGGGAGAACTCTGTTTTGGTTGAGAGCGAGTAAGAGGAAAAATAATAAATTTTTTGTGTTTATTTTAAGAGAAGCTGTGTATTTAAGGATTTTAAGAATTTCTGACGAGGAAGAAACTTGTAGGAAGGGAGATATAAAGTAAGGACATGAGATTATCTGCAGAAATGATAATAATTCTAAAACTACAGATTCTGAGAGGTTACACAGTAGAAAAATGAAGCTTGCTTCTTGTCTGAAGGTGGAAGTATTATTGCAAGGAGAAATAACGTGAAATTCCTGTGAAGAAAAAAAGAGGATTGTAAGAGAACAGATATTTAGGTGTGGGAAAAAGTCTTGGCTGCTCTTGCAGTTGCGTCAGTAGAAGTCAGCATGCTTGTTTTAATGTTTTTCAACATCAGTGAAAACAAAACCATGGGATCTGTTCAGTATCATTGCCAGCTCTTTCCCACCAAATATTATTATTTTTGTTTAATAGTAACAGAATTTCCAGCTGAAATGGCAGTTCTACAAATCTGGTTTTGACCTTAAAACCTAGAAAACATAAAGTAACACATATGTAAATCAGTGTGGATTTGCCAAACAACAGCTGCAGAAACAGAAGGCTGAGTATTACATAATTATGTAACAAGTTCAAGAGACTTCAGATTAATTTCTGTATGCTCCTCACTGTTCTGCTGTTTCTGAAAATTCTGCTAATATGGTCATGTCACCAGATTTCACATATGAACCAGTTTTTAATTTTTACTTATCCTATTTTTCCCTCTGATTAGATTTATTCTTTTCAGCAAGTTTCTGAAGGAAAGAAGCAGATTTATTATAACTTTGTTTTGGTATATAAATAGGTATTGGTACATTGGTATATAAAAGAAAGGGAGAATGAAAGAAATTGAAAACATGGAAAAAACTGTTATTTCATCCTGAAGACCTAAACGTTGTGGAAAGATTTAATTTCAAAACGAAAATTTACAGGCTTTGAACACCTCTCTCTGGCAGCAGCCAGGGAATTGTGCTGACATCTGAGCTCAGTGTGTGCAAATGCAGAGGCTTGCAGCACAAATGCACCTTTTGGTATTGGCAGGAGATAAAAGAAAAAAGGCATAATGAAGTCACATTTCTCCCTACTGATTTAGCTGTGTTATGGATAGACTTTAAAATGACACTTCAGCTGTTTCAGGTATATGGGGAAGTCTCTGCAGTGGTTTCTGGGCCACCAGAGATAGTGCCAGCTGGGCAGCCCCTGGGACTACCTTCTGTGCAGTCTGAGACCTGGTGATTTGTGCATGAAGATGATGGATTGAATTTGGATCGTGCCAGAGAGACTTGAGTTAATGATGTAAGGAAGGTCTGTGCCTAATTTTTTTTTTTCTTTTTCTAGTTTTGGCTTTGTTCATACTTTTTTTTATTGTTACAATTTACTATCATTTTGAACCCACCTCTTTTGCATGAAAACTACTGTAAAACACAAAAGCCTTATATGATTGAGCTCTGTGCAGAATCTGTGTAGCAACTAATGCCTAAAATGGCTGATAGCAAGCTGCTTCGGTTTTAGAGCACTGCTAAATTTTCTCCAGTGTATGTTAGCTATAAAAGAGCCTTTTCACCTTGGGAACTGCTTCATGCCTTCAGTTTTAGAGAACAGGAACCAAACAATCACAAAGATAACAGGTCAGCATAAGGAAAATCCAGCATTTAGAAAAAAAAATGGCAGATGAAATGAAAAGCAGGGCAGCCCTTGTACAGTCACAGCGGGTTATCACACAGTCCTTCCAAGCTGGGAGAAAGCAGCAGTACTTCTGTGCCACAGAAAATAGACACAACATAATGCTGTTGTAGTGGGTGAGGAGAATCAAGGTATGAGTGAAATTAGCTTCCTTCTTCATACATGAATTCTTCCTGTATGCAAGCAAGATATCAGTCAATGTCTGTGGATCTCTACTCAAAAAAGCACTTTTCTCTGACAATAACTTTTCTCTGAGCATTAATGCAGTCACTTTGGATTTCTATCTTTCACTTGTGGGCAAAATTATTTCAGTGATGTCTAGTTACATAGCTTACATGCCAGATCAGCAAGGCATGTGACAAGCTACATGTAGATATTCACAGTGCAGTTAAAATCTCTTGTTAGGACAAATAAATGTCTGCCCCATCAGTACTTTCTCCTCAAAACCAAAGCACTAAAGCCTTTGCACAGAAAAGTTTCAGAGTCTTGTAGAGAAAATGCCAAGGCTACAAAGCCAATGGCGGGAGCAAACACTGTCTAATAGGGATTTTACTCAAATCAACATATGCCTTTGATGAGAACACAAGAGTTAAAGAGACACATGGCAAACCTGTGACATGTTTTTTAAAAACTAGAATGTTATGTTGGTAATTACAATAGATTTTGTGTTGTTAACAAAAACAACTGCCTCAGGAAAGGTTTACTTATTAAGATGAGAAAAGGCAAAAGGTCTTTTGAGTTGTTACTGCTTCCAAAAAAATCTAATGACTTTTCTCATCCAAATTTAACTGACAGCTGATAATCCCAGTTCTCAAACTCATTCAGTCATAGATTGTTATCTTGACCTGATAAACTGAAGGTGAAATGCCATGAAAAGAAAAAATGAAGTCTGGAGGGCTTGGACTGCAGTATGGAGACATTGCTGAAGTCTGGAATTCTATCCAAATTCACCCACCCAAAATGATAATTAAGCATACAATTTTGAACAGAGTTGCAAAAATTTCTTTGTTGCTTACAGAGTGTTTTCTCCTTATTTCTGTAAGTACTCAATGGCACAGATGAAAATTTTCTGTGGCAAGTAGCCAAGAACTTGAAAAAAACTATTTTTTCTTGAAGCTGGACATATGCATATGCACTATTCTGTCATTTCAAGCGTGTAGCCATTGAAAACATGCTGGAAGTAGAGTGTCTACATTTTGTAGTTGTGACAGAAGTCATTAGTTTGCATAATCAGGTAGTATTCTCTATTGTGCCACATACCTTCAGCAGTGTAAACTTTTGAGAGAGTTCTCTTTCTTTTTTGAGTGAAGTAATATTGGAATCCAATGATAAGACTCTTCTGTATTCAGTATTTTTTTGTTATCCTTTCCAATAAGTACATTAATACTAAGCAGGCATACCTGAGCCGGTTTCAATGGGTGGTTTGATCCAGGAGAAAAGCCAATTGGTGATGGCTCGGCAGATGGTTTGCTGAGATTATTGTCATTACTAATACCGATTCTTTTTCATTTGTCTTTGAATTAAGCATATAATTTTCTAGTCTATCCAGAATTAAAGCTCTTTGGAGCAGCTGTGGTTTCATCTGCAACTGCTCTTTTTCTCTCTACACTGTCTAGAATGTTAAAGAGAGCTAACCTAAGTAGTTATTGCTCACCAATAACTTGCTAGTTTTTATCTGAAACACACAGAACAACTTAGTGTCTGTAAGATATGTTCACTGTTTTGTATTAGGTAATACAAAACAGCAGCCTATGACTTCTTTATACTGAAGTTTTCCTTTTTATTGTAGAATCACAGAATATCCCAAGTTGGAAGGAACCCATAAAGATCATTGAGTCCTGCTCCTGGCTCCATGCAGGACCATCCAAAATACAAACCCTGTATCTGAGAGTGTTGTCCAAATGCTTCTTGAACTCGGGCAGCCTGGGGCTGGAGTCCGTTCCATGCTTGATCATCCTCTGGTGCAGCCCCTTTCCCTAACCCCGAGCTGCCCTTGCCATACACAGCTCCATGCCGTTCCCTCAGGCTCTGTCGCTGTCACAGAGAGCAGAGCTCAGTGCTGCCCCTCGCTCCCTGTGAGGAGCTGCACTGCCATCAGGCTCCCCCTCAGCCTTCTTTTTCCATCCCGAAGCATCCTCACCTTTTCGTGTGCCTTGCTTTGTTTTATTGCTATATGTTGAGAAACTGAAGAATATGCAGGGAATATTTCTTCAGTACATATTTGGACAGACTCACGCTCTCATCAAAACAGTGCTATCACATAAGTTTGCTAGAAGTTCGAGTTTATTAGAAGTAGAAAAACCACCTGACAAAGATGTTTGCGGCTACTGCTAGTCACAAATACACTGTATACCATGTTTATTACTTTCTATTTGTGATTGCTTGTTTTTTGTGCTATTTACTCTCAAGTCTGCAGACAGCTAGCACAGAGATGCAACAGAAGCAGGAAATAGCACACTGTGGTGGACTGCAAAAAGCTGAGTTAAAGTTCTGTGGTTTGACATACTTTTCTTTTTTTCTTCTTCTTTTTAATGATAGCACTAACCGATGATAAAAATCATATTTTAAATGAATAACTATGTTGAGGACTAGAATTGTGGACTTGCTACGTGACTTTGAGCATATTACCTCTCCAGCTTTTTTCACTTGGAAGAATGACTCCCTCTCCATGAGCTTGAATACTTTAAGAATATGTTGACTCATACCTTGAAGATGTCATTCTCATCTTGACCCCCTCATTATTACATGTTGATCTGTAGATTTATTTGAAGAAGTAATTCCATATTGGAAAAGACTATGCATTTGCAAAGCTCATACTACAATAAATGTAACTTTCCCTATCTCAGTTGTGATTCTCAAAGAAATAATTTTTGTTAATAATAATAATAATGGAACTAATAGGGTGAGTTTCCTGACATCCATCACCAAATTATTTGCAGTACAGGGCTATAAAAAATTGATCACAACAGAAGAATTTTTTTGTGTAAATATTTTTATTAAAAAATAAACAGATTTTGTTTTGAATCAGAGTTGAAAATAACTGATAAAAGTGTGAAGCACTGAATTCTGGGGCTGAGAAAATGTCTTGTTGCTCATGGAATTAATGCACGTTCGTTATGCATGTATCTTATGGGAAAACCTTTACAATGTCAAGGATATTCATTTAAGTCATCAGAGTGCTTTTATTGACTATATATTGAGTGTTGTTGGACTGCTTTTTCACCACAGGAGGGAATGAGAGGAAAAGGAATATACAAGACATCTCTGTTGGTTTTTTTTCCGTACTGCTATGCTGTGTTCATTCACCTTCCATCATCTCAGTCACAGCTTTTGTAAGTGCTAGTTCAGCATAACAAAGGCTCTTCAGAAATCAGGTAATGGTTGTGAGATCTGAATATTGCGCTTGAGATCTCATGGGATAATGTGTCTACATAATTGTTGATTTTCAGCTTAGTCTGTCATGGGAAGTTCATGATGTTTTATACAAAATTCTAACAATATTTATTACAATCATATTCTAGCAACTTGGGATCACAAATGGTTTATTATCTACATAGCTGGAGGAACATCTGCTGCTGTTTTACTGTTAGTTTTCCTACTCATTTTCTGCATCACCACTGCTTATCGCAAAAAGTGAGTAACAAATCAATTTGCTTGATATAGAAGCATGAAGCTATTAAGGTGTTAAAAACTCTTCTATGCTTATCAGAGGCTATAAAAATGTAGACTTGGAAATTTAATTTTCATGCTAAAATTGTAAACTTGAAAAAACTAATCAGTTAAGCAGGTTATGAAATAAGTTGTTTCATTTTTCCCATTGTAAGAATAAACAACAAAACAAACAAACAAAAGATCTTACTCAAGTTCCTTAGCTAAATGGTTATTGTAATATTAACAGGTCATTAGTAAAGATTAACATAAGCTTATGTTGGGCTGTTCCTATTTCATGCGTAGAGAGCACAAGTGACATCTTGAGGTTTTCTTACATCTTGTAGCTTTTTGTATCTACTGTACACGAAGTATATAGTAGTAGTCTGACCCAGAATCTCTGCTTCCCATGGAAGGAAATATTGACTAGAAAAAAAATAAATATGTTTATTTCCCCATTACATCATATGAAGCTTCTGGAATTTGCTGGCAATCTGTCATTGTTCTTGCCCCTGAACAGGAGCTCTTTTGATGTGTCTCCAGACCATTACAAAAGAGTGCTAATCTCTTGCATGTTATGGTCTGCATTCAGAGGAAGGTCTATTGGATATTATTGATATCAATGGGCAAGTAAGTTACATCAGTGTTCTCTCTTCTATGCTGGAATTAAATAGTTTGGAGTATATTGCAATACATGATGCAGTTCCTTCCATTGTGTTTCTAACTGAATGTGTGTCACCAGGAAGAAGAGGAAGAGGATCACAAAGGCCTTATTTAATGCTTTGTATTGTACTCAGGATGAGGTGAGATCAGCTGGAGTTCACTCATACTTTGTATTTTGCATATTTTTAAACTTCATCTCTTCTGTATCTCATGTTTACATTCCCTGCATAGTTTAATCTTGAGCTACAGTTGGGAAAAAATAAATATTTCTGTTTATACATTTTCACTGTTCTTTTTTTCTTGATAAAACAATTGTATTTAAAGATTTCTTCCATGTAGCTCTTTTGGTTTGCAAGACTTGAACTATTTGATCATTGGCAATATTTATTTATTTTTTTTCTCAAGTTGCTAACTTCAAAACTGAGGCAAAAATCCCACCAAAAAATGTATCCTGTCATACTATTTGTATACACCCATTTCTAGTTCAGCTTCACTATAATTTGTTGGTATAAGTGTTAAATTGCTTCTTTTTGTATTTTAAGAATCAATCAACTATTTGGAGCTCTGTGACTTTTTCCCCCTAATAATTCTACTCAAAGCCTGGGTGGAAAGACAAGATCCAACTTTTCTGCTTCTACCTTGTCTCTTTATACCCTGAGTCAAGGCATGAAGTAGCAATGTGCTCAGGAAAATGACCCACACAGAGGCTGTGACTCTACCTTTCTATCTATTCCCCTAAGACAGCACTTGAGGAGATGTTCACTGTAGATAAAGACTTATTAAAAAGTCCTTTAACCTTCTGCCACTTCTATGTCTCTCATTCTGCCTCTTAGGTCAACATTCAAATCAGGATAAAACTCTTGCCAGGATAATCATAGCCTAGAGACTTGCCAATTACCTCAGAAACCATCTTCTGAAAGCATGAGAATTTTGAAAACATTACAACTAACAGAGGCACCATCATATTAATGACTTGAGTAATTTAAGTATGGTCCATATCTTTAGAGTAACTCACTTTTTAAGATTGATGTGGGTTACTATTTCAGTATGTAAAGTGTGTACATGAAGAGAATGAAGCATTCCAGTGATGCTGATACTTTGATACTTTACCAGTAATGCAATATGAGACAGCTGTGAAGTATATTCAAAGCACAACTTTGAACTGAATTTGAAATTTATTCATGAAACACAAGAAGACAAAAACTACTTTGATGGTTGAGTATTTCCCAATAACAAAACAGCATATGAGGAAAATTTGTTGTTTTTTTTTTTTCAAAGTCATTGTCAGAAAAGTCCTTCAACTTTTCCTTTTTCTTTTTTAAATGTTCTAGCCTGGTAACAATTATGCAGAACACAATTATCACACCACATGGGACACAGAAGGAGGAAAAGAAGAGTCATCACTCAGGCCGGCACAGGAGATTTATGTGAACTGCATAACCCTAAGAAATGACAATTAGCTTCTTTCTTGTGAATGAAGTAACCCCTGTTCAGGCCATGTATTTGCTTGTTGGACTTGATTTGTTTTGCACAGGTGAGCTGCAGAAGGTTAAACTGTCTGTCAAGCATGGCCCAGGCTGCCCTGGCCAGACAGCACAGGTACCCAAGCCAGTCAGGGTGCATCTGCATTATGAGACAGTCTGCAGCACTACCGCACCCTTTGATTCATATGTACAAGTGAAGATTATTGGTACTTCTAACATTTAAACATTTTTATCCAGTAGGTGCACTTACAGGTAATAATTTTAGAACAACTAGGCAGAACAAAGCAGTATATGTTTAAATTACATTCATTTCGTTGGAGAAAAAAATGTCTGGCAAGGTGAGAAAGAAAATGTGCTCAACGTTCTCTGTATTCATGACTTTCAAATCTTAAAATTGAGAGCATTATAGAATAAAAAAATGTCCATGATTTTCCGCACAGGAGGTGTTATCACACTGTTGGGCAAACAGTATTATTCAGCTGGCAAAAGCAAATGTATCAGGGATCCTTGAAGTTAGATTTGAAAGCAGAAAGAGAAGCGTGCTGTCTGACAGTGATGTGGTTTACATGCTTCTTTCCACTCATGTCAGTTATTCTGGTGCTCACTATTTGTGATACAGAATAGAAACACAGCCCCCAGCCAACACGTACTCTCACACGCATGCACGCTTATTTTTTTTTTTTTCTCTCTCTTGAATGCTCAGGACAAAACAAAACATTAAGACTCTGTTACTGTCAAGTTATATTTAATAATAATTTATTATAGGGTTTAGTTGCACAAAAAATAAATGAGAACATGGAAGATACATGAATAAATGATGCAAAGCAGAAAAAGCACGATTGAGAACATTTACAAAACAATACACATACGTGTGTGGTTGTATGTGTGCATATGTATATATTCTGCTGAAAACTACAAAATGAACCACACAGAAATTGAACAAACAGACAAAATAAAATAAAATAAAAAATCAAACAAACAGAACTAGAAGGCAGACCTGAGAATTAGGATCTACACATCTTTTGGCCTTTTACAAATCTGCCATATTACTGAAGGATGGAATCCCAGTAGATGAAGATGTTACCATGAAAGCTGATAATTATACACGTCTGCATTCCACAAACTGTATGCCTGGCCCACCTATGCCCGATTCCCCTTTTCTTTTGTAGCATTAGTAAAAGTGTGACTGAATATAACTTTCGTTTTGGAAAGGTTTGGGGGAAAGCATCATCAGTCTGCCTACAAAACAGTTGCCGGTTTAACTTGGCTGGCTAAGGAGCATCAACAGGCTGACAGTGAAAAGCAGAAGGTATGTGGCTTTCTCCAATGAAAGCTTTCTTCATGTGCAAAGGAAAACATGAGTCCAGGTTCTTAAGTGGACACAAGACTTCTTTGAACTATTTGAGTGATAATAGTATTGTACAATTATCCTACACTTCAGCTAAAAATCTACAAAGGTAAGCCAGAGTCCTTCAACCTAGCATTGAAGACTTAAATTCTTTTACAATGTCAAACACCATTAGAAAACATCTCATTTTGGTTTTGTGTACTCCTGAACAAGGACACATACACGTTACAAGGGATATATTTTTCCTTTCACTTCTTGAAGGTAATCAGATATATAAATGCTTGCATGTGCAATTGATGAGGATACACAGAACTGTACTATTAATAAGTTGGTTTATTTCCTGAGTTATCATATGTCAAAGCAGTTAATTCTAAGTTGTGCACAGCATTACAAATAAAACCCTGTAGCACTGGGTCGTTTCTTTGATGATTCCATTTATATTAAAATGCCAAAATGGTGATGAACTGAATTGGATTACATTGAAGATCTCAGTTGGAATCCTGACACAGAAATATCCATAGCCGAGAAGTTGCTATTGATTCACTGTAGAGACACTCAAAACATATCCCTACACTGAGGACAGAAAAGAGGGAGAGGTTAAGTACCTGTGATACCAGATTGCTTTTATTATATCTGATAATGCCCTTATTTCTTGCTTCCCTTGGAACTTTTAGCTTGTCTGCATGCATTTTTTTTTTCAAAAGAATTGCTTATTTTTGAGATTTGAGAAACAAAAAAAATCTGTACTGCACATCTTTGCAGATATTTAATCTAGTTTAATTCAAATTCCATAAACATTATACTTCTATCAAGATAGTCCACAGGGAAAATCACATTACACATAACATAATAAGAACAGTATTTTTTTTTTCTCATAAAGCAAACTCAAAACAACAGTTTCATTTTTGTATCATTGTGATATCAGTGAACAGCAGCTGAACATGAGACTGATACAAATAAAAACCAAAAAGAAAACAATTCATACCTCATCGTTATTCTCTGTGGATTAAAAACAAGTGAGTTATGCACAAGAAAGATGTCCAGAAGTGTCAACAGAAATGAGATATTAAATCCCTTTAAAAGCTTTATGAGTCCAGGAGGATAGGACCTAGAAAGAGCCTGTGTGCTGTGAATGAGTATGGATTTTGTAAATAGGCTGTCCTGTGCAGAATAATAAAATCTATTGTAAATTTGTGTATAATTCCAAAATTTCCCATAGATTTGCCTTTCTCTTTTGGAAACTGTTACCTTTTTGGGGGGTAAAATTGATCAACTGTAACTTGGAAATTTCATCTTGAACACTTACTGTGCTATTTAATCCTGTATTACTTGCTCAAATAGTTAAAAGACAGAAAAAAAAATCAAGGAATAAACATGGCATGTCTATGGACAGCAGATAGCTCAGAACGCTATCTCAACTGTCTTATTTGTTGTTTTAAAGCCTTAGAAACTCTACTGAAAGGAAATGAAGATAATAAAGCATTTTTCCATTAAAGAAGAGTGTCTTGAGTCACTGGATAACTACTTTCTGTGCAACAGGAAAATGAACCGATGACATTTTAAGAAAAGGAGAACTAGGCTTCTTTTCCATAATAATAAAAATTCACATTTTGCAATCATGGTTTATGCTGGGTGAAAAGGCAGCTGTTTTAGCCTCGTGTACAAAGGAAAATTCAATTTTTGTTTTTTTTCTAGTGCCTTTTAGATTAATAGAAATATGAAGTCTTTAAAGAGCTTAAACTCATATTATTTTTAAAAAAGAAATCAGAGAAAAAAAAACCCAACAACATTTCAATTCTGTCTCTGAAATAAAACAATCTGAAGTAGACATTTATTATTTTATTTATTTTAAGACAGGCAGTCACCAGACTTTGGATCAATGGGGAGAATACTAAACCCACTGTCTATGAAAGATGGTGCAAGTTAGAACAGGAAGATACTACATCACCTCTAGTTATCATATCTTCCTTTCTTTATCTCAAATATGTCCCTATGTACTGAAGAGCTTCCCTGACCCTGACTGTTCTGCTTGTCTTTTCATCTTCCTTGGCTGCGCATCTTCAGATTAAATGTACCAGTTAGGAAACTGTTTGCTACAAGGACTGGATCCAATGAGGAATGGGAGAATATCCTACAAACTCCCACTTCAGGAAGAGTAGTCAAACACTTAATCCTCTATCCAATCCCACCTGCCCATAATTTCCAGGCACCTTTTCCATGAGGATCCTTAAGTTTTGTAATGACTGTCAGAAATAATTAGTTTTAACAAATGTGCTACACTAGCAAACCAACCACCTGCTCTTTGGATTTTGGTTTAATCATAGGTAGGTGGCTGCTTACTCTTGAAAGATTCAAATAAGGAAACAGACTTCAGAAAAAGAAAAGATTTCAAAGGACTGATCTCAGTATCAGATTGATTTCTGTGTGTGTGTGTGTGTGTGTGTGTGTGTATGTGTGTGTAACCATAAAGAAGACCTTTGGGATTCAGGGCTCTGTTTATTTTCTTTTTTTTTTTCTACATATCATGTCCCTCTAAACCTTCTGTGTCACTGAGCTATGTAAAAGTTCAAATCAATGATACTTATTTACACCAGCTAACCCCAGCACAAGTGGAAGAAGGCTTATTTCCTTTAAAGTCCAAATACTCAATAGAAGTTAATCCTCTAAACAGCTCTGTACGTCTGATACTAAGGGTTAGTTCCAAATCCTGCCTGCAAGACAGGCTGGAGACTCCAGGAGTAGAAACTACACACCAGGTTCACAGACTGCATTACTTAATGTGTAAGTACAGCAATTCAACAGACATTTCAAATGCTCACACATTCTGGAGGAACTGGGCTAGAGCACAGGACTACTGAGAAAAAGATGCGTCTCCACGGGTATGCCATGCTGGGATGTGATGTCAGAGTACATGTAGGGGGTCAGGGTGGCCACTTTCCCTTTAACATCTAGTATCAAGGGTCACACTCTGAGGCTACAGACACAGTGGTCTTCAAAGAACTAAGACTGATTGGGCTTTTCACTGGTAAATGACATCCCAGATGTTTCTGCCACCGTAGTTGCTTCATACAGTCTTCTGCATACCCAATCAGCCAGGGAATGAAAGACCTTAGCTAAAAGTCCCTACTGTAGGCTGAAGCAGACACATCCCATCCTACTCTCCCACTTGAAGCTGGGCTCCTGTACTGAAACAACTCATGCTTTAAGAACTAAGAAGAAGAGCCAGGAGTGGGTTCACAGGACTCAGTAGGGTGGGGTGCTCCTCCAGCAAGAACATTCTCATTTTTGCTTTCTCCCATAATGCTTTGTTTTCTCCATTCTAGTCCTTTCTTACAGAATAATGACTGATGAGAAAAGGGTGAGAACATGGATACCATAGAACAAATACATAGGAAGTTTGTGAATACTTCCTTTGAAATAAGAGAGCTTCAGGTTTATCAAGATACCATCAGCTGTGTGAGACTGAGAAGCTGCTGGAGCAGACTGTGCCATGCCACTGTGTCACTGCTCTGATGAATTACAAAGGTGGAGTTTTACCTTACCACCTGTGCCTGGGACATAAGAGTCAAGCTAGAAACTACAAAGGAAATATAGAAATTTATAGCAAGTTTAAAAAACTAGTATTTATTAGCTCCACATCAACACTGTTAGC